TTTTATACTGTGGACATGTATCACCTTTTAAAACTTTTAATTTAACTGGCTGTGGGAGAAGAGAAGAGCTATCTGTTTGGCTCAGAGATCCTCAACGCGCCAGAAGGGAGAGGGATAGTGCCCTAGGCATGGAGATTTTATTGGGAAGACAAAATTTTGCTAAGCTTAAGGGAGGCTAGAAACACAAAAGAATAATTGATGTGACAGGGAGGGTGTCAAGCTCCAGTTGGTAGGGACCAGGAAACAATGCCTCCTTTGTCTCCATGACGACAATAACTAGCAAGAATAATAATCACAGTCACCACCACAGGGGACACTTACCTAGCCACTCAACTAATCACTTCTCAGGGACCATCTCACATAACTCTCAAAACAACATCATTGCATACAAAAGAAAACCAAGGCATGGAAGTGTAGTAACTTGCCCAAGGTCCCACACAGAGTTTGCAGTAGTGGAACACCAGGGACCTCCTGCGGGAGCTACACTGGTCTCCACCTCGGATCCCCTGGCCAGAATCCCACACAGCAGATACTGGGGTGTGGAGGAAGATGGCTCCCAGCCTGGAACACCAGTGCCACTCCCACCCAGGCTGGTGGAGAGAATGGAGGGGATGGAGTCAGGCAAGCAGCACACTTAGATACTGGACTATCTCATGGATCTTGCTGGGGAAGGGCAGGCAGAAAACAAACATGCCACACAAGGTGGGGAAATTGTGAAAGAGGTTGGGAGCGGCCTGACCTGGAACAGGGGAGGCCTCCAGGGTGGCTGGTCAGATAGTCATGGGCAGAGTCCCAGCTCTGGCCCTGGTAGGTGATTCTCTCCTCACGTCCTCCCTTCCCTTCTCTCAAATGGGGCATAATAGTGCCCTTCTCCCAGAGTCCACTGTGAGGCCCACCTGGCACAGGCAGGGGATGCCTCATCAACAGTAGCTCCAGACAGCCAGCATCCTCAACCGGGGAACAGCCTAAATGTCCTTCAACAGGTGAAAGAGTAATTTGTAGCAGACCCATTCATGGAATATTATATAGCAATAAATAAAACCAAATTACAGTTACATGCAATAATCTCCAAGAGTGATGAACAAAAGAAGCCAGGAATAAGAAGGAGCACATGCTGTGATATTCCATTATATAGAACTTAAAAATAGATAAAACTAATCTATGTTGTTAGAAGTCAGGATCCTTGTGACTTCTGGGGAAGCGGGAAGGGAAAGTGACAGGCAGGAGGAAGGAAGGGGTGGGACCTTCAGGCACACAGGTGCGCTCACTTTGTGACAATCCATAAGCCGTATCCTTGTGTTCCATGCATTTTTCTGTATGTAGGTTCTACCTTAATAGAAGGTTTATTAAAAAAAAAAAAAAAAAAAAAAAAAAAAAAAAAAAAAACTAAAGGAAGGCAACCTACAGAACAGGAGAAATCATTTACAAATCACATATGTGGCAAGGTTTTAATAACCAAAATATATAAAGAACTCCTACAATTCAACAACAATGAAAAACCAAACAACTAGATTAAAAACTGGACAAAGGACTTGAATAGACAGTTCTCCAAAGGAGATATGCAAATGGCCAAGAAGTATATGAAAAAATGCTCAAAATCACTAATCATTAGGAAAATGCATACCAAAACCACAATGAGATACCACCTCACACCCATTAGGATGGTTAATTTTGTTTTTTTAATCAATAACAAGTGTCGGTGGAGAAATTGGAACCCTTGGGCCCTGTTGGTAGGAATGTAAAATGGTGCAGCTGCTGTGGAAAACAGGGCGAATGTTTCTCAAAAAATTAAAAATAGAACCACCATGTGATCCAGCAATTCCACTTGTGGGTATATACTCAAAAGACTTGACAGCAGGGTCTCGAAGGGCTATTTGTACACCCACGTTCAGAGCAGCACTATTCACAATAGCCAAGAGGTGGAAGCAGCCCAAGTGTCTGTCCACATTTTTTTCCTAGTGATGAATAGGTAAACAAAATGTGGTCTGTGCATACAGTGGAATATTATTCAGCCTAAAAAAGCAAGGAAATTCTGATACATGCTATCACATGGATGAACCTGGAGGACATTCTGTTCAGTGAAATAAGCCAACTACAAAAGGATACACACTGTATGATTCCACTTATAGAAGATACTTAGAGCAGTCAGATTCATAGAGAGAGAAAATAGAATGGTGGTTGCCGGGGGCAGGAGGGGAGGGGAATGGGGCGTTGTGTTTGATGGGTACAGTTTCACTTCGGGATGATGAAAAAGCTCTGTGTGTGGATGGTGGTGGTAGTTGCACAATGTGAATGTACTTAATGCCACTAACTGTACACTTAAAAATGGTGAAGGTGGTAAATTTTGTTATGTGTGTTTAAAAAAACAAAAGGAAGGCAACCTACAGAATCGGAGAAAAAAAATCAATAACAGTTAAAAACCAACAAACAAAATCAAGGAATGTGGCCTGGCCTCCAACTGGATGGGCAGTGGAACCTGAGATCAGACCTCACCCAGCAACCAGGGCCGTGTCTGCTGAGGGTGTGGTGACAGGCAGGCCACCTCTCGGATATGAAGATGCCGATATTCTCAGGACTTCATGAGAGGCCATTGTGGGGACACGTGGGCTGTGACTTTCTCAGGCATAGCTCCCTCTGGGAAGATCATCAGTGGGGGAGCCCAGCCTCAGAGCCACAGCCCCCAGGCCAGGGGAAGCCTACTATTCCTTGTGGCCCCCACCAATGCCTGGCAAAGAGCTGAAGGAGCCTTAAACGCGGCAACGAGCTGAAGCAATTCTCCTCTGTCCTCACAGCTTTCAGATGAGGTCCGTTGAAGGTGCTACCCCACCTCTCAAACACCCAGCAGCCCTTGCAGTCTTTCTGGTCACTTCTAGGGTCATCAAAGGTCTTGTTTTAGACATAAAGAAGTCTAGCCTGGTCCAAATTAAATCAACATTTAGATTTTGTAGCCAAATTGAGACCTGCACCGCCATCCAGCCGAGGTGGAATGGTGAGTCCCACAGCCAATCCTGGTTTCCCCCTGGGTGGGGAGTGCACAGAGGGGCAGAAAGATGCCCCCAGACAGTGCTATTGTCACCTAGCATCCAGCCCTCTCTGGGGCAGCTGCCTCCACATAGGTGCTCACTAGGGAGGGCAGGTGGGAGGGTGTGGGGAGCACTGAAGTGAAGGAGGCTCTTCAGGAGGACAGGACAGTCCTCTAGTTCCTCCTGCTCCTCCCCTGCACCCTCTGAGTGGCCTGGCTTCAGGTCCAGATGCCACTAATGACCAATGGTGAGCCTTGAACCCAAACTCTCCAGCCTTGGCCTCTTCATCTGCATAATGAGGATGGTCAGAGCCCAGCCTCTCAGCTGTCATGAGGACAGGCCTGTGTCTCGTGCTTTATTTAGGGGGTAAGCTCTGGGCCAGAATTTTTGAAATTGAAAAGTCCCATGGCTGCATGGTCTGGAGTAGTTTAACCTCTCTGTGTCTCAGCCTGCTCATATGTATAATGGGAGCAAATATAGGACAGACCTGGTAAAATTGTTGAGAGGATAAAGTTAATTAACATGCATAAGACTCTCACGGGGCCCTGGCTGGTGGTAAGGTCTCAACAGATGTGAGCTATTATTGTTTTGAAGCAAGGGAGGGGATTGCGAAGGCTCACGGCCCTGGCCAGAGCTTATATTCGGATGTTTGCAGCACTTTGAGTATGAATACTCTTCTACCCACTCCCCCAACTTCCGAGACTAAGGACTGTAGGCAGCCTGGTGCCAAGGGGTCTGTCATGCATGAGACCTCAGGGCCTTCACTGGCTGTCCCCAGCTTCCTCAGGCCTGGCTCCCAGAACTCCCAGGCAGCCAAAGTCCATCTGACCCAAGCCCTGCCTGGCCAAGCCTTCCCAGGGAAGGATTCAGACATTGGTGGCGATCCAGAGCCTGGGCTGAGTAGGAGGAAAAGTGGTCGGGTGGCTGGAAGGCTGGGGGGGGCAGAATCAATGCAAAGGCAGCCCTCTTCTCTCCACTCCGGAAAGCCCCAGCTCCACTAATCTCCCCTACGTTTCCTGGGGCAAGCTACAGGGCCTCTCTGACCTCAGGCTCTTCATCTGTCAGAGGTCTGTTGTGGGGATGCAATGACATAAGCATCTATCAGTTGCTCAATACATAATGGCTGCAATTGTTATTTTTACTATTATCTCATTGATGGGGGTGGCTGTCTAGGGCATAGAGGTTAAAAGTATGCCAGAGCCCAGAAAAAAACAAGAACTGTGGATGTCCCCCTGCACACACTTTGCAAATGAGAAATCCAAACCCAAAGTCTCACAGCAATTAGGCAAGGGAGCCAGGGGGACCACACAGGCATTCAGGCTCCTCACACCACGGAGCCAACATTGTCACAGAGGTGACTTCTTACACGGCCCTGGGAGGGAATGTGCAGAGGAAAGAGGAGCCCCATGACTTGGATGTGGGTAGAAGGAAGGGAGACTCCCTGGGGCCACACGAACATAATCATCCCCCCCCCCCCAACCCGTATATGTCTCTCTCTCTCTCAGTAGTCACAGTGGGAAACTCTATTAGCTATTCAGTTCTAGGACTGGAAGAAGTAATGCGGAGCCAACACGTGCAAGACAGAACGGGGACACAAATGCACCATCCAAAGGTGACTCAGAGAACTGGAAGAGCCTTAGGCATTGACCTCAATCCCTCATTTACAAATTCTGCTCATTTTATTATGGAGTATTTCCAACATACAGAAAAGTACAGAAAATAATGCAACAAGTGCCTGTGGATTCCTCACCCAGCACTGTTCAGTTCTAACATGCTGCTGCTCCCCTCACCCCTTCTCAAGGCTCATAGTAGAAATACAGCAGAAGCCCCAGGAACCCTCCCTGGTTGCATTTCTCTTCCAGGGAAATCGCTCCCTGGATCTGGAATGTGTCCTTCCCATATTTGTTTTCACACATACATCTGCATCCGTAAACATGACTGGTTTTTGCTTGTTTTCAAACTTGATATAAATGGGACTTTACTGTATGAGTCACTTGCAACTTTTTTTTTTTTTAATGCAACATCAGTTAGTGAGGTTGCTCCACATGGCTCCGCAGAGCTCTAATCCGTTCACAGACAGTCTACAAAGAAACCTTGATTCATTAAACCCCTTTCCCATTGATGGACCGCTAGACTGTTTCTAACTGCTTGCCCTCACAATTCAGCTGTCCTGGGTGCAAACATGGGCCGAGGGGTGAAATGACTGGGGTGCAGGGTCTGAGCATCATGGCTTCCCCAGATGGTACCTGACTGCTTTCTAAGGTGGGGATGCCACTTCTCGGTCCCACAGTTGCATGTCAGGTACGGCACCATCCACATTCACACGAGCACTCAGTGGCACACCACACCTTCCTTCTTCAGTAAGGAAACTGAGGTCCAGGGAGGAAAACGACCTGAGATCCTAGAGCCAGTGCCTGAGGGAGCCAGGACTCCATGTTCCAGTTATTTATTGCTATGAAACAAACAACCCCAATACTTAGTCGCTTTTAAAAAGAGTTATTTGTTTTGCTCATTAATCTGCAGTTCAGACAAGACTTAGAAGGCAAGACTGGTCTCTGTTCCATGTAGTGTCAGCTGGGGTCGCTTGACGGGGGCGCCTGGAAGATCCATTTCCAAGATGACTTACAGATGCCAAGTTGGTGCTGGCTGTTGCAGGGTGCTCGGCTGGGGCTGAGGGTATGGTCTTGGTTCTTCTCTGCAGGGCCTCTTCATGAGCTGCTTGGGTTTCCTCAGGGCAGACTGGCTGGGTCCCAATAGCCTGTGTCCCAGAAACTGGCCGTGTCACTTCTGCTGTATATTGGCGAAGCAACCACAAGGTCCGAATTCAAGTGGAAGGAGGGTCTATGTTATGTCCTGCATTTTGATGGAAGGAGTGTCAAAAAATCTGCAAGTCATGTTTTAAACACACTTGATTTCTTCAGCAAGCCTTCAATATGTAGAGGTCAAGACGCTTTAACAGGCAGCAGATAAATAAATGAATGGCAATGCTGCCATCATGGCTGCCAAAAACTACATTGCCATCGGCGACTACACCAACCACAGCACGCTCAACAAGGACCTGAAGCAGAGGCTCCAAAGTATTGGCTCAAGGGCCAAATCTGTCCATGTGCTTTACTTGGCCTGAAAGGAGAAGTTTTTATGTAAAAATAATTATCAATATTTTAAGTTGGTAGACTTTACTTCAAAAATCCAGATTTCCAGAAAAAAACACACACGGAAGATTTGGCAACGTGGAGCTCTCATTCCCAGGTAGCTTCTCTGGCTCAGCGGAGGAGTGACCACTCAGGTAAATCCTCTGGTTTTCTGCGGTCCCCAGCGTTTGGAACTGGCTCCTGGGGACCCTTGAGTTGGCAAAGTCTGGGTCACTAATTCTAAGACATTAGAAGGGCATTGGGATACTCATTCCACAGGGTTTATGAGTGAACACAAATAAGGGGTGCTGGCATAGCTCTAGGGGTCGGGGGAGTAACCCTAGGAGGCTCCCCAGAGGAGGGAGCACCTGAGTCATGAAAGATGGGAAGGATTTGTAAATGTTCAGGATTCTAGAAGCTAGTGCGTTTGATTTCCAACTGGACATCTGGACATTGAGATTAGAAAGGACACAACAGGAAGGAGTTTTCCCTGGGTATCCAACCTCTATAATCCCAAATCCAATCTCCTCATTCCTACGTGGGAATGAATAGCAAAAATTCAGGCTCTAAGTAGGTAGTGACTTAAATGAAGGACACCCTAGATGCCACACCCTCCAGACACTGTCCTCATTGGCTGACCATTCTGCCTCAAATGCTAGCATCAGCACCACCCTGTACATTGCAACATTCTATAGGAGGCACATGTTACTTGCGAAGGAGGACGTTTACAGACATTGCTCACCTGCCCAGTAATATGAGTATGAATTAATTAACCCCTCAGATTTGCCAGCACAGAGAACGGGCTCCTGGGAAGGAGACAGGCAGAGTAAGTGTTGGTAAAGAGAAAAGAGAGCTCATAGGAGACTGCTTGGGAGGGAGGGGGCACAGCTGGAAGCCCTGAGCTTCATGCAGTAGAGGGAGATCTAAGGTCACCAGGGGAAGAGGAGACAGAGGTGGATGTAAGAAGGTAAAGCCTCAAGGGTCGCCATGCAGCTGGGCTTCTGCAAGTCCCTCAGTCTTTCTTTTGAGACTCTAATTTCTTCCTCTGCCGAAGAAGGGACCTAAAGCAAACCTGTCACACTACAGTCCTAGGAGGCTCATATCCCCTCAGTCTAATCTTCCAAGATGCCATGATCCCATGTTCTCATAGATTCTTAAGAGTTTTAAGACTACTTTATTAGGCCTGGCTGGTTTGGCTCAGTGGATAGAAGGGTGCTGGGTTTGATTTGGGTCAAGGGCACATGCCTGGGCTGTGGGCTCCATCCCAGTGTGGGGCATGCAGGAGGCAGCCAATCAATGATTCTCTCTCATCATTGATGTTTCTCTCTCCCTCTCCCTCTCCCTTTCTCTCTAAAATCAATAAAAATATATTTTTTTAAAGATTATTTTATTAAATACTGTCTTTCCATGGTATTTTTGAAAATGCAACCAAAGATATTATGGTTCAAAGGCTACTTCTGGGGCTCCAAGAATCTAAGCTTTGATGTTCTCCAGGGTCTAGGGGTTCATATTCAGCCATTCTAAGGTTTTGTGGATCCATCATACTTTCTCATCTAGAGCCATTATTGGAAGACCATAATTTGCAATGAAGCCAATGATTTATTATCTATGTGCTACCTCTACTATGGTTTTTCTTTAAATTATAATTTTAAATTAAATTTTAAAACTTGTTCTTTTCACTTAACATCATTCTAAATAATAATAGTATTGGTGAAATCGTGGATTTGAAGGATAAACACTATTTTTCTAAAAACATACCAAATAAGTTTTGGTAATATAGGTCCTGGCAATCCCTCAACCATCTCAGGCACCATTAGCAATTTGAATACATTTGAGAAGCCATTGCCCATGGGGCCAGCCCCCTCATTCCTGAGAGAAACATGGAAACATCCATTTGCAAGGGTAGGAGCTCTCTGGGCACTGAAAATGTGAGGTCCACTCACCATGGGTCTCTGCGGAAAGCTGTCCTGTCCTGTTCCAGGTAGAAGTCACAGTTGGGAGGCAGGTGCCCTTCTCATGGGTTCCCAGCCCTGAGGCTGGAGTGGCCTGGAACTGCGGGGGGATACTATGCAATACTGCCATCTAGTGGCCAAAACGCAAGAAACCAAGAGAAGGGGCAGAAAGAGGATGCAGTTCCTGGACTACCAAAGCTAGTGCAGACAAGATAATGGGACACATAACTGAGATACAAAGCAATCTGGCAGCTATCAAATGCTAAATGGGCAGCATAGAAACAACTTAAGTGTCCACCTGAGAGATATTGATTAAAACATTATAGTGCATTAAATGAAATAGTATGCAGGCATTGCTAAGGATGCTATGAACCGCCGAACTGGTTTGGCTCAGTGGATAGAGCGTCGGCCTGCGGACTCAGGGGTCCCAGGTTCGATTCCGGTCAAGGGCAGGTACCTTGGTTGCGGGCACATCCCCACTGGGGGGCGTGCAGGAGGCAGCTGATCAATCTCTCTCATCGATGTTTCTGGCTCTCTATCCCTCTCCCTTCTTCTCTGTAAAAAATCAATAAAATATTTTTTTATAAAAAAAAAAAGGATGCTATGAAGATATATTATTGATATGGAAAAATGCTCAGTTGAGTGGGGAAAATGAGCACTAAGCAGTAACATGCAAGTTGTGTAAAATGTGAGTTTAAACCCACTTTGGCTGTCCATCTATAGAGAAGGTCTGCTACCCTCTGTCTTCCCCATGGCAGTATATATACCCCACCCACAAGCTATCTCTACCCCACCACTACCCCCACCCCACCCCCCTGCTTCTCTCCCTCTCCATGGCCACCACCTTGGGCAGAACCAGCACCATTTCTAGCCTGGGTGACTGAAGTCACCTCCCAAGTTCCAACTTTCCCCTCTGCCTCTTCCACTCCACAACCAAGAGAGCTCTCCCAAATACCAGCCAGATCATGCTGCCTCCCTAATTAAAGTCCTCCAATGGCACCCTGGCCAGGTGGCTCAGTTGGTTGGAGCATCATCCCATACACCAAAGATTGTGGGTTGGATTCCCAGTCAGGGCACATACCTAGGTTACTGGTTCGATCCCCAGTTGGGGTGTGTGTATAGGAGGCAATGGATCGATGTTTCTTTCTCATATCAATGTCTCTCTCTCCTCCTTCTTCTTCTCCTTCTTCTTCTTCTTCTTCTTCCCTCTATAAAAATGGAAGACATATCAATAAAAACATATCCTCAGGTGAGGATTTTTTTTTAAATCCTCCAAAGGCTTCCTGTCTTACATAGAATAAAAGCTAATCTCCTCACCGTAGCCCTCGAGCATCTGGCCACCTCCTCTCATACCCTGACCATCTCTCACTCCATGCCTGATCCTCTGTCACTTCCTCAACCCCGCTGAGTCTTTGCTGAAACACTTCTGTCCTATTCCTCTCCTGCCTGATTCCTACTCAAGCTTCATGCCTGGGCACACCGTCACTTCCCCAGGGAAGCCTCTGTGGGTAATGGGATTTGTATTTTTCTAATTTATCCAAGGCACATGTATAATGTTGATGTGATCAGAAGAGACCAATCTAGTTATGTTAATTTAAAATAAAATCCAATGTATAGACCATTGGCACATGGTGAATTCAAAGAAGGAGGAGGTCTGTGTAAGCTGGAAAGCTGGAGAAGGCTCCTAGGGAGGGTAAGGATTGAAGGAAGGGAAGAATGAAGCCTGGGAAAGAAACTATTTGGAAAGGGAAGCATTTGAAGGTATGAAGGTGGACAGAGGCAGCGGGAGGAGGTGGCACCTGGTGATTTTACCTCCCTGGCACCCTTAACTCTGGTTGCAACAACCTTCTTCCCCTCTCCGTGGGGCTGGTACTCAGTATGGCTGTGTGGATTGAGCCTGACCAATGGCAACCTTTCCTGGGATTTTTGCCTCATCTGTTGAAAAGGGGTGTTGTCTTTCCACTGAGGTTACCAAGCTGCAAGGATATATGCCTGGATCTTCTTTGCCATTGCAAGGGAAGATCTTGCCTTAGAATAAAGCCCATACAGATGAAACCAGAACCAAAGATGAAGTCACATTCCTGATTGACATTTGCACCTGGATTCAGCCACACCTGAAGCCACAATCTCCCTAGACTTTTCAGATCTGTGAACCAGGAAATCCCCCATCTTTTGAGGATTAGGATAGTTTGCCATCCATTTCTGTTACTTGTAACCCAAAGATTCCTAATGTCCACTAGTCTGGCTGGTTCAGAGACTTCCTTTGGGAAACAGTGAGGGAGGACGAGCAGAAATAGCAGAAACAACACATGTTCCGGCCACTCTTTGGAGACAAAGCCTTTATTCCCAAAGTGAACTAAGGCATCTAGTGTGGGAATTGGGGAATTTTAATTTCAGAAATCTGAAACGATAGGCCCTCTCCCCTGACTGTCCACAAGCCACAATCTCTCTCCTCTACCCAGAAATCCTCTGAAAGGAGACCCAGGGACAAAAATGGCCCGAGGCAGCTCCTGTTCTTGGCTTCCTGGGGCTCTGAAAAAAACTGTTCTAAGTCTTCCCAGACCACGTCGGGAAGGCCAAGAATCCACAAGACGGCTGGGCAGGGGACGAAATGGGTGAGAGTGGGAATCATCTGCATTTCCCACTGTTCTTTCCCTGTTTATGCATCGGCCAACTACTCCTAAGGCCCTTGCTCCCTGGCAGGGAGACACGGTGGGGGTAGAGGAGAGACACAGGCCCACTGGTTCCGGCCCACATCTGGTTCCTCCTAAGAACTGTATGATGACATGAAGAGTCAGTACTTGTGTCAAGAGTCCTCTCCCATGATCCCCAGTGCCTGGCAGAGGATTACATATAAAAGGGACTGGTTTCCATTCAGAAAATGGATTCCAAGCTCTTACGGGCATGAGCAGACAAGGACTCCTAAGATGGGTGATCATATAAGTGTCACTGCCTTGTCTCTTCAGGGGACTTAACACTCCTGTCCTCCTGTAGCATGTCATCTGGCTCCCCCTAGGGCACAACTTCCTCCGAAACCTCTGGCCTGAGACCATCCACAAACCACTTACTTCCCAGCTTCTGAGAGCTACATCTGTAGATGTGAGCTAAAATCAATAGATACAGAAAGATATTTGTTAAAATTCAACACACGTTTCTGATGAAAACTCTAAGGAAAAAAAGAATATCAAAGAGAACTTCCTTAATTTGATAAAGGGTATCTGCCAAACATACACACACAAACACACACACACACACACACACACACACACACACACAGAGAGAGAGAGAGAAAGAGAGCGCTAACATCATCATTACTGATGAAATATTAAATACTTTTCTCCTAAGGATAGGAATAAGAAAGGAATGTCCACCACTATGGTATCTATTCAACATTGGACCTGCTCATTTCAATAAGGCAAGAAATAAAAATTTTAAAAATAAAGATTGGAAAGAAAACATACAAACTGTCATTATTTCAAATGATAATACTGTACATGGAAAAACTCAAAATAATCTACAAACTATTAGAATGAATAAATAAATTTAGAAAGTTTGCTGGGTATAATCAACATATAAAAATTGAATTTGTATATACTACCAACAATTTGAAAATGAAAATTTTATTTTATTTTTAAATTTTTTATTGCATTTATTGGGTAACATCTACACTAATAAAAGAGAAACATGCAAATTGGTGTCATTCCGCTATGCCCACCAGCTAATCAGAGTGACTATGCAAATTAACCCAACAAAGATGGCGGTTAATTTGCATACACAGGAGCAGAGTGAAGACTGAAGACTGAAGACTGAAGAGGCTTGGCTTCTCTGCTGCGGCCGCCAAAGGCCTGGGTCCCGGGTACTGGAGGAAAACCAGTGCCAGCAGCCAGGGGAAGGAAGGCCTATTGTGCGAATCTCTTTGTGCAATGGGCCACTAGTTAGTTAATAAACTTATGTAGATTTCAGGTGTACAATTCTATAATATATCATCTGTATACTGTATTGTGTGTTCAGCATCCAAAGTCAAGTCTCCTTCCCTCACCATTTATCCCCCCTTTATTCTCCTCTAACTTCCCCCACTCCCCTTTCCCACTGGTAATCACTATATTACTGTTTGTCTATGAGTTGTTGTTTTATGTTTGGTTGGATTTTTGCTTAATCCCTTCACCTTTTTCACCTTTGTTCTTTCTCAAGATTGCCATGGCTACCTCCCTCCCCTCTGACAGCTGCAGTCTGTTCTCTGTATCAGTGTCTGTTTCTATTTTGCTTGTTAGTTTATTTTGTTCATTAGATTCCACATATAAGTGAAATCATATGGTATTTGTCTTTCTCTGACTGACTTATTTCACTTAGCACAATACTCTCCAGGTCCATCCATGTGGTTGCAAAAGGAAAGATGTCCTTCTTTTTTATAGTCAAGCAGTATTCCATTGGGTAAATGTACCACTGCTTTTTTTATCCACTCATCTACTGATGGGCACTTGGGCTGCTTCCAGATCTTGACTATTGTAAATAATACTGCAATGAACATAGGGGTGCATATATTCTTTCGAATTTCGGGTTTCTTAGGATATATTCCCAGAAGTGGAATCACTGGGTCATAAGGCAGTCCCATTTTTTATTTTTTGAGGAAGCTCCATACTGTTTTCCACAGGAGATGCACCAACCTACATTCCCACCAACAGTGCACAAGGTTTCTCTTTTCTCCACACCCTCATCAATACTTATTGTTTGTTGATGTATTGATGACAGTCATTCTGACAGGTGTGAGATGATATCTCATGATTTTAATTTGCATTTCTTTGATAATTAGTGACATTCAGCACATTTTCATATATCTATTGGCCATCTTATGTCCTCTTTGGAGAAGTACCTATTCAGATTCTTTTCCCATTCTTTAATTGTATTGGGGTTTTTTTGTGTATGTGTTGAGTTATAAGGTCTTTATAAATTTGAGATATTAAGCCCTTATCAGATGTATCATTGGTGAATATGTACTCCCATTCAGTGGGTTGTCTTTTCATTTTGTTGTTGATTTCCCTTGCTTGCAAACCCTTTTTAGTTTGATGTAGTCCCATTTATTTATTTTTAATTTGGTTCCCTTGCCCAAGAAGACATATCAGAAAAACAATATTGCTATGAGAAATGTCTAAGATTTTATGCCTGTGTTTCCTCCTGGGATTTTTATCGTGTTGAGACTTACATTTAAGTCTAATCCATTTTGAGTTTGTTCTCGTGTATGGTGTAAAGGTGGTCTAGTTTTCTTTCTTCAGTGTCTTATAATCTTCCAAGTAGACATCTTTTACATCCTTGGTTAAATTTATTCCTAGGTATATAATTTTTTATGCAATTATAAATGGGATTGTTTTCTTAGTTTCCCAT